ACACGCTGTGGAACAGAGGAAGGACGAAGTGCCATATCGTGAGTGCCTAGGAGAGCAGGAGGACGAGGACGGGCGACACGACAAGCACGAAAAGGTGTGGAAGCACGAGTCTCAGGCTCACGACGCTCAGTCAGGGACTCAAGTGGCTGAGACTGGTCTGTCGGTGGACACAGGAGGGGTAGAGGGAGGCCAGTGAAAGACGGGAGACTAAGAACCTGGCGAAGGACCGAGTTAGGCGGCGGCAGGGATGACTGCGGCTGCGGGTAGAAAAATGGTATGCGCAGGGCGATACCAGCAGCTCCAGCTCCTCCAGCACCAGCAGCACCAGCACCTCCAGCACCAGCAGCTCTAGCAGCACCTCTAGCACCTCCAGCACCATCAGCACCACTAGCTCCGGCAGAGCCACGATCTCTAGCACCAGTAGTACCTCCAGCACCTCCTGTGCCAGTAGCTTCAGTAGCACCTCCAGCACCTCTAGCCCTAGCAGCACCACCTGCTCCGGCAGCTCCAGCACCTCTAGTACGAGCACCTCCAGGACCAGCAGCTCCAGCACCTCCAGTACCCGCACCTCCAGGACCAGTAGCTCCAGCACCTCCAGTACCTCCAGCTCCAGCGCCTCCAACACCAGTAGCACCTCCAGCACCTCCAGCACCAGCTGTACCTCCAGGACCGCTAGCACCAGTAGGACTTCTAGGAGTAGTATCTCCGGCACCTCCAGCACCAGCAGCACCTCTAGTACCTCCAGCACCAGCAGCACCTCCAGCACCTCCAGCAGTACCTCCAGTACCTCTAGCACCAGCAGTACCTCCAGGACTAGCAGCTCCAGCACCAGCAGGACCGTACCCTCCACCACCAAGACTGCCTCGCCAAACGATCCACGCACGAATCGCCTGCGGCGAGAGCGTCTCAAGTAAGTCAGGCTGTGGTGGCTGTCCAGCTCCAGGACCTCCAGCAGGGTCACCCACAGCTCCACCGCCACTAAGACTCGCAGGACCCCCAGAGTCAGCACCCCTATTTGCAGCATCCCAAGAACCAGCACCCCCTGTCGCAACGCCCCCAGAACCAGCACCCCTAGTCGCAGCACCCCCAGACTCCTCACCCTCTGTCTCAGCACCCCCAGGCCCAGCACCAACATTCTCTACTCTAGAGTCCACAGCATCAGGTTGCGGAGGCGGCGAAGACGGCCGAGGCGGAAAACCAGGGGGGATCTCCAAGCGTGGAGAGCGGCGAGTGGCCGCCGTGTCGTCAGCGGCGGGGTCACCCCCCTCAGCTGGGCCAGAGGAGTCAAAAGAGATCTCCAAAGGCTCAACCAAGGGGGGTGGGTCTACCTGAGACACACCTGAGGGAGCAGGACCCTGTGGGGGGAGGGGGTCTACTGGGGGGGGGACTGGTACCAAGAAAAGAGTCGCTAGGAGGACCAGGTGGGACGCGTGCGGGTGTAGCCTGTAGAAACAGACAGACTCGTCAAAGGTGACGTCCTTGGAGGAGAAGACTCGATGCGAGCGCGGGTGGTAAAACTGCCACGGCGGGGCGTCAGAGGGGAAGCCAAGGAAGACACAGCGGAGAGTGCGAGAGGAGAGCTTGCTCGCTTTGGCATCGCGAACAAGGGAGAGCACGCCCCAGACCCGAAACACCGACGCATCGCCAACCTTCCCCGTCCATCGGAGTGTGGGCGAGGTCTCTGGCTCAGAGACACGAGGCCAGAGGTTGAGCTGATGCGCAGCGTATCGGACCGCAAACGGCCACAGAAAATGGGGAGCAGCCGCATGGATCATGGAGGTGCGAGCAACCTCCATGATCAAGCCAATGCGACGCTCAGCAATCCCATTTTGCTGAGGAGAGGCCGGAAGCGTGAACGACTGGACGATGCCCTCGTCTTGACAGAACTCCGCAAGGAGGTCAGAAGAGAACTCACCGCCCCTGTCAGAGTGCTGACGTAGGAGTGGGAAGTCCCGACTGAACCGCTCGCGCAGCTAGCGACGAGTAGCACTTATCCAGGGGATCAAAACACCGCTGACAACCGAATTGCGCCGCAAGGGAAAGACAGTGGCTTAACGTGTGCAGTCGTCAACAACCAGTAGGAAGTAGCGCTCCTGGTCCGTTCCACCGACGGGGGCTGGGCCCCAAACGTCCATATGGAGAGTCTGCAGAGGAGCAATGGTCGGAGGAAACTCGGAGGAGTGAGGAGCGGCGTGCTGCCGCCCCTCGACGCAGGGAAGGCACGGCAGGGCAGGCAAGCGCGGGAGGGAGGGCAGGGACCTGGGAAGGCAAGAGACAAGGAGACGGGAGTGCATACCGCGGAGATGCGGTTGGGAGGGGTGACCGAGGCGGTGGTGCCAGAGGAGATTCTGGTGGGAGAGTACCCGACACGAGCAAGACGCTGCAAGCTGACCAGACGCAGACACCTGACTCGACGCAGCCACCTGACCTGCCTCAACCACCTGTGCAGACGCAGTGGTCAGTGTGTACAAACTAGACCCAAGCCGTCGAGTGAACGTAGCCAGGTGACAGCCAGTCCGGGAGCACGTACAGATCGCCACACGCCCCCCCCAGGAATAAAGGTATCAACCCAGGCATCTTGAATGGCAGCATTGCTCACCAAGTTCGTCGAGAACATGGGGAGGTGGAGACCTGACAGAGAACCAGAGGGGACTGCTGGACACGGAAGGACAGTGGAGGCTCGTGCGACTACTGGGCCCTTAGTGGGGTCAGCCAGTGAGACCGGTACCGTTGCAACAAGTGGTGTGAGTGTGGTGCAGTCACGAAAGAAGCAACGTGACACGCCTGAGTCAAGTGTGAAAGTGTGCAAGGCCTCAGCTGAGGAAGGACCTGTGGCGGGAGACGCACGAGCACCTAAAGCTGCAGCAGACTCACTAGCACCTAGTGCTACAGCAGACTCACTAGCACCTTGTGCAGCAGCAGACTCACTAGCACCTAGTGCAGCAGCCTCGACAGAACCAGTGACACATCGCTGAGGAACCAACTCACTAAGCACCTGAGGGGAGAAGGTCTCCTACTGACTCTGCTGCCGCCTCTATGCAGTACGTAGAAAACCAAAGCCTCCACCACCTGGACGGGCTTGCTAAAGAACCCACTCGCAAAGCTGCTGAGGGGTGGGGTCGTCCGGGAGAGGCAGTGACCGCCGCTGTCCACCCCTAGCCGCTGCAACTGCCGTGATAGGGGCCATGACAGGCAGTGATGATCAGTAGTAGGTCCAGCACCTCCGGTACCAGCAGCACCTCCAGCACTCCCAGTCGCACGTCCGGCACCAGCAGCACCTCCAGCACTCCCAGTCGCACCTCCAGCACCCCCAGCACCAGCAGCACTCCCAGCACTCCCAGCAGCACCTCCACCAGCAGCAGCAGTAGCACGAGCAGCAGCAGCAGCAGTAGTGGCAGCAGGGCAGCTCGGTGGGGCTGGTGATCAAGGTAGGGCGGCGCAGCTCGGGTTGGGCAGGACGGCTCGGGCTGGGCGGCGCGGCTCGGCCGGGCAGGGCGCGCCGCGGGCTGCAAGACAGGGCGCGCGGTGGACAGGGCAGCAGGGCGCGCGCTGTGCAGGGCAGCAGGGCGCGACGTGTGGGGAAGCAGAGCACGACGCGCTGGCTGCAGCAGGGCGCGACGCACTGGCTGCAGCAGGGCGTGACACGAGGGGCAGCAGAGCGCGTTGCGCTGGCTGCAGTAGGGCGCGACGCGCTGGCTGCAGCAGGGCGCAACGCGCAGGGCAGCAGGGCGCGACGCGCTGGCTGCAGCAGGGCGCGACGCGCTGGCTGCAGCAGGGCGCGACGCGCAGGGCAGCAGAGTGCGACGAGCTGGCTGCAGTAGGGCGCGACGTGCTGGCTGCAGCAGGGCGCGACGCGCAGGGCAGTAGGGTGCAACGTGCAGGCTGCAGTAGGGTGTGAGGCGCGGAGCAGCAGAGCGCGACGCGCGGGCTGCAGCAGGGCACGTCGTGCGGGGGGGGGGCAGGCAGTGCGAGTAGCTGCAGGGCAGCGCGACACTGTGCGAGCAGGGCCGGACAGCGCAAGGGCGCTTCGGGCAGGAACGAGCAAAACTATCGGTGGGCCCTAAAAACTTAAGAGGTTTCCTGCTCTGAATACCATGTCATAATAACTGTGCAGGAATGAATGAACTATGAATTAGCTGGGTACAAGTACTAACCCTCAAGTGTTGTACCCGTTGTAGGCTAACCCACTATAGCCTAGAGAGAACACAAACACATAGTTTGACATCAATAACATGCCCCAAAGACCACAGACAGCAATCTGAAGTGGTAGGTACATCTTTTGTGGCTAATCAGGTTTGTCCAAGCAACCTCTCTGCACCTGACCGACCCAGCTTTTGGCCTTCCAAAATGACACTCCTATGTACGGTATTGCAGAGTTACCATCATGCAAGAACGCCTCTCTACACACCGGCCATAAAAAAGTAGTGCTATTACAAGCGTTTGTACCCCTTTAGCACACTGCTACCATACAAAGCGCACTAACTAAATTGAACAAGCTATGGCAAGCATCAACAAAATACACTAAATGCCATACTGCTGGTTTGTTTTAACTGGTATGACTCTTGTAGACTGTCGTCTCTATCAGAATCATGCTCCACCAAGTTTCCCAGTAGATATTTGAACTGCCCACTAAGATATGTACCTATCATAGGAAAACACACGACTTACACACTATTTACCAGTGCCATTCCTGCTGCGGCAAACCAACTTGTAAGGTTCACTCATGGTGGTTGCAGGACCGCCTCAAATTCTCATGCACGGTTGTGGTGCAGCAAGCGCAGCGCAGCAACCAGGGCTGGGGGTTTTGAGTCAATCTAAAGGCTCATGCACGGTGGCTGTGGAAACGCCTCAAATGCTCATGCCCGGTGGTTATGGCGCAGGAAGCGCAGCGCAGAAAAGGCAGGAAGAGCAGCCAAGGCAGGTGGCTTGGAGGCAAGTTTCGATAAAGCTCATGCCCTGTGGTTATGGCGGAGATTTTTGAGTCGACTAAAAAATAAAGCTCATGCCCTGTGGTTATGGCGGAGGTAGCGCAGCGCAGCAAAGGCGGTAACTCGGCAGAAGACGCAGAAGCAGACGAGGAAGAGCCAGTCCCAGTGCACGGCACTGCGGGCTGACTTGGTGGCGATGAGGAAGTTCCAGAGATACTCGGGGCCGCTGACGGGGTTGAGATACCACTTGCACGGGCAGCTGTCGCACGCTGAACTGGTGCCGGGGCAGCCCGGAATGGTGCACTCCGGTGCAGAGGTGTTGCAGTAGTAGGCTGTTGCTGTGAGGCCGTTCAGGGCGTACTGTGTGGGGGAAGGGGGATGGGAGGAATGGGAGTCGAGGGGAGAGAGGGAGGGAGAGAGGGATGGGGGTAGGGGGGAGAGAGGGAGGGAGAGAGGGATGGGGGTAGGGGGGAGAGAGGGAGGGAGAGAGGGATGGGGGTAGGGGGGAGAGAGGGAGGGAGAGAGGGATGGGGGTAGGGGGGAGAGAGGGAGGGAGAGAGGGATGGGGGTAGGGGGGAGAGAGGGAGGGAGAGAGGGATGGGGGTAGGGGGGAGAGAGGGAGGGAAAGAGGGAAATCCGAGGATATGGGACGGCCTTGGAGGGTGGACTTGGGGGCCCTTGAAGAATTCCAGCAAGTGTGTTTAACCTGCCTGGGAGTAATTGGGTCGGAAATCGTCTGAGAGAGAAATAGTGAGGAGTGAAGGCAGGCCTGAGTTAAGGAGAAGAACAAGCAACGGGAGGAGAGAAGTGAGGCAGAAGGGAGGGTGATGGCTGGCACCTCAGAGAATTAACACACTTGCAGTTTCAGTTGGCTTCACGATCAAACCTTGGAAGAAAGAAAAACAGGGAGAATGGGCTGTCCCAGCCCGAAAACTTAACCTCGAGTCGAATCAAACGTGACATGCTGCTCGGGATTGGTTCAGTTAGAGCGACAAGCCTGAATGGGGTTGGTTGGTACAGTTAAGGTTACAGAACTAGTAAGAGATGTAACTTTGAACGAAGTTTTTGAACCAGTGAGTAGAGCGACAAACCTGGATGGGGTTGGTCCAGTAGACGGCGAGAAAAAAGTTTTGTTGAGAGGTCTCAAAAGTCGTCTACTTACTCACGGAATCTATGTTAATAAGTAGTGCAACGAACCTGGATGGGGTTGGTCCAGTAGACGGCGAGGAAGAAGTTTTTGGTGAATGCGTAGGGCAGGAAGAAGCCGCACGTCGCCACCCATGCTGTGATGAAGAAGGAAATCACCACTGCCGCGTACTGTGGTACGGGGAGCGGGGAGGGACAGGGAGGGAGGTGGGTGGGGATGGGGATGAGGGGTGGGTGGCATGTTGCCACCCACGCCGTGATGAGGAAGGAAATCACCACTGCCGCGTACTGGGAGGGAAAGGGGAGGGGGGGAGATGGGAATGAGGGTTCTGTGGTGTGTGAATGCGTGAAAAAACAGGAAGAAGTGGCATCTTACCTTGGTTTGAAGCAGCAGCTTAGGGTGGGAGGGAGTAGAGAAAGGTGCAAACCTTGGGTTGGGGGCGCACCTTGGGTTGGGGCAGGACGACGGAGAGCATGAAGCCAAAGTAGGTGACGGAGAGGGCAGCCAGGAACTGCGTGAGAGCGAAGGAGAAGAACGCCGCTCCACTGCCCACTGCCAGGCCTGCCAGTGGCGCTGCCACTGACACGAGTGCGAGGGAGGTGAGCAGCAGGTAGGGGATCTGCAAGGGGGAAGGAAAGGGGGAAATAGGGGACTGTGAAGAAAAGCGGAGTTCTGGTTGTACACATACATGCTCCTGCAAGAACAGTACTCTGCCAAACGAAAACCCAACGGCAAACAGAGTCTCACCTCAACCACGGTGTAGCCCAGCGTGTAGAGAAACGCAAAGTGCTGGTTGTACACGCGCTCCTGGGCGAACACCTTCTTGGTCTGATTCACCAGCCCCACCGCCGTGCCTCCATGCAGCGTCGTGCCAAACGCCAGCACTGCAAAGGGGAACGCCTGTGCTGTGGTGGCCTGGGAGGAGTGTGCCGGGGTGAAGGGGATGGAGTGGTGCAAGAGTGAGCAGATGGGCTAGAACAGCCCCACCGCCGTGCCTCCATGCAGCGTCGTGCCGAACGCCAGCACTGCGAAGGGGAACGCCCGCGCTGTGGTGGCCCGTAGGGAGGTGTGCCAGGTGGAAGAGGAGGGAGAGGCAGAAGAGCGAGCACATGAGCACGAGCACCCTGACTGGAATGCCTCGTGAGGGGAATCAAGGTTGGGCATTAGCACAGCCAGAATGATCCATGCGGGGCATGCTAATGCCCTTCCACCATGAGTGACAATGATCCACGCGGGGCATGCTAATGCCCACACTGCAAAGGACCCTTGAGGGGCCTCAACGGGCAGTCGGTGCAAGGGGGAAGTTTTTTTAGGCGCCTAAAAAACAACTGGCAGGCAGTGCAAAGGGGAACGCCAGAGTTGTGGCTGTTGCAGGAGGGAGGTTGCGTGCGGAAGGATTGGGGGTAGGGCGGTGAGAGAGAGGAATGAGCTTATGAGCCACGTTGAAGTAGATTTTTTATGTGAAACCTCACGACACGAGAAAGCTCCAAAGATGGCAGACAGTGCACAACACCCAGCAGCCGTGCTGAGAGTCGGCTGATAACAGCGCAACGCCAAGAGTCTGCAAGTCTGCATTCGGCGTAGCAACAGCAGAACCACGAGGCCGTTTAGATTCAAAGCTCACCTGCAGCAGGTTGTGCACGGGGTATTGGTAGAAGAGCGAGCCAATCAGGAGGCCGAGGATGGAGGACTGGACGATGCGGTTGAGGGAGTGCGAGGTGTTGCGCCAGTAGAAGAGGTGAATGCTGTACTGCACCGCCATCAGCTTGCGCCACGGGCTCGGGAACTTCACCGTCACGGGCGGCAGCGCGGGCATGAGGAGCAGCGGCTCCGCTGGTGTGGCTTCTTCGTTGGGGGTGCTGGTGGGATTCATGGAGGAGTTTTCTGCTTCTGCTGCTGCTGCTGCGGCTGCTGCTGCTGCCACTGCTGCTGCTTCTGCTTCTGCTGCTGCTGCTGCTGCGGCTGCTGCGTGGGATTCTGCTGCGTTTGACACGATCGCTGCTGCTGCTGCAGCGGATGCTACTCGGCGTCGTATCATCCCCTTGGCTTTCAACCACCCTCCTCCGCCCTGCCCTCCGTCTCCCTCTCCTTCTGCAGACCCTCTTCCAGTCAGACCAACAGCAGCAGCAACAGCAGCAGCAGAAGCAGCACCGGTGTCAAGCCCGCTCACTGCACCTGCCAGCGCGTCTGCCCCCTTGGCTGCAATTGCCTCTTCATGCTCCAATGCAGCGAGGGACCACGCTGAGTCAGACGCCACCATTGCCAAGCTGGCACTCTCGTGCTCCATACCCCCCCCTCCTGCTTCCCCTCCCCCTAGTCCCCCCCCACCAGCACCACGGAAACTACGAGCACAGCCAGCAGCGGCTGCACCACCAGCAGCAGCAGCAGCATCCCGGCCCATAGATTTCGCAGCCTCGATATTTGCAGCAGCGGCGCGGGCAGCAAAGGCGGCAGCAGTAGCAGCGCCGCCGCGTCTGAGAGCAGAGAGGCGGTGGGCGTTGAGCATGGCGAGGTCGGAGACGCGATACTCCACGGCATAGTCACACGCGGTGGAGCGCTGGTGCGTGGCAGTGTCGTCCCCTAGAAGGTTCTCGATGAATATGATGGGGTTGGTGTGGGCCGGCACCTGGGGCGTGCCTGGGATGGCCGAAAAATACTCCTGTGGGGGTTGCAGCGGGGGTGAGAGGGGACGGGAGGAAATGGGAGGAGAATGCGGGGAAGGAGGGGGCGTGTGAAGTGGGAGAGAGGAGCGGAGAGGGGTGGGCGTTGAGCATGGCGATATCTGAGACGCGATATTCCACGGCATAGTTGCATGCGGTGGAGCGCTGGTGCGTGGCAGTATCGTCCCCTAGAAGGTTCTCGATGAATATGATGGGGTTGGTGTGGGCCGGCACGTGGGGCGTGCCTGGGATGGCCGAGAGATAATCCTGAAACGGAGGCACCGGAGTTGGGAGGGGGATGGGTATGTATACATCCATGTATACATCCATGTATACATCCATGTATACATCCATGTATACATCCATGTATACATCCATGATCTCAATAGTTGTAGTTTGGCTGCTCCCTTCTGCTTTTGGGTCATTACTTTTGAGCCGACTCAAGTGGTGCTTCATACCATTCCTGCGCACAGAAGGTGTGTCATCTCACTCACCACGAGCGACTTTTGAGTCGACTCAAAAATCACTTATCTCACTCACCACGAGCGCTTATCTGTTCCTGCCCGCGGGGCCAAAGTGGGCCATGTCTCCACAGCTGCCAACCATGCTTCCCCACTGCTGCTTTTGAGTCGTTGCTTTTGAACCGACGCATAAGCTGCTTCATTCATCGTACTCACTCACCACAAGAGCATTGCCGTTCCTCCCTGCGGGCCCTAAGTGAACCATGGCATGTCTCCTCCGCGGCCCAGCATGTCCCCCCACTACTGCTTCTCAATTCACTCACCACAAGAGCATTTCCGTTCCTGCCCGCGGGACCAAAGTAGACCATGTCTCCCCCGCTGCCCAGCATGAGCAGCGAGTGGAAGGCGTTGAGATGGAAGGCGGTAACCGCGTTCGACACCACCACCATCGCCCTCCCCCACGCCGCCGCCACGTGCTGTTGGGAGGGAGGGCCGCGAGAGCATGGGACGGGAGGAAAAAAGTAGACATGGTGTAAGGCAAGTGAAAATTCATCGAGATGGAAGGCGGTAACCGCATTGGACACCGCATTGGTGATTGCCCTCAACAATCGTTGGTTGCTCCAACCAGCCAAACCCAACCATCTCAACTCGTGTAGCGAGGTTGTTTTTGAGACGTCTCAAAAACAACCCAACCATCTCAACTCACTTGCAGCATGCCTGAGGAATTCGCCACCTCTGTCGTGTCGCGTCCGTGAGAAGGAATGGCGCATCAAAGAGCACCACGCCAGGGCTGCACTGATTTCACAGCGCAAGATAACATGACCTAACATTGAGCCACAGAGTCCCTGCCAGGAATCTCACCTGCAGCATGCCTAAGAAATTCGCCACCAGAGTGGTATCCATGCGCAGGAAGGGAGCTTCAAAGAACACGGCGCTGGGATTCCCCGCCATTTCCATCGCAAACACAATCCGCTTCTCCACATACGCCGACCCCACGCCGTCATAGATCGAACACATTGACTTGAGCATCTCACCTGCAGCATGCCTGAGAATTTCGCCACCTCAGTGGTATCCATGCGTAGTAACGGCGCGTCAAAGAACACGACACTCGAGTTCCCAGTCATCTCCATCGCAAACACAATCCGCTTCTCCACATATGCCTCAACAATCGTTGGTTGCCCCAACCCAACCCAACCCAACCCAACCCAAGCATCTCATATCACCTGCAGCATGCCGGAAAACTTTGCCACTTCTGTTGTATCCATGCGCAGGAACGGCGCATCAAAGAAGACCACACTGGGATTCCCAGCCATTTCCATCGCAAACACAATCCGCTTCTCCACATACGCCGACCCCACGCCGTCCGCCAGAATATCCTGCACCAGGCAGTCCGCCATGCTGCCCTTGAACTCCATAAGAGACAAAATCTGCGCGACAAACGCGCGGCGTTGCTCGTCGTGTACTTGGTCGGGCAGTGTGAGGGTGGTGCGGTACTGCAGGCTCTCTCTCAGGGTGAGCAGGGGGTAGTAGAGATCCGCCCCTTGGATGTATGCTGTGGTGCGGAGGAACGATGGCAGGTCCCTTGGCTTGCCGTTCACTAGCAGTCGCCCGGCCAACTGGCCTGGAATCTTGCGCCCTGTAGGAGCAGGAGGGAGGGGAAAGAAGGAGATGAAAAGCAAAATTTGCGCCTTGGATATAAGCTGTGGTGCGCAGGAACGATGGCAGGTCCCTTGGCTTGCCGTTCACTAGAAGGCGCCCAGCCAACTGGCCTGGTATCTTGCGCCCTGCGGGGTGGAAGAGGGAGGAAAGGAAGAGGTTGATTAGCTAGGTCTGCACCTTGGGTGTCTGCTGTGGCGCGCAGGAGCGATGATGCGATGGGAGGTCCTCTGGCTGGCCATTCACCAGCAAGCGCCAGCCTCCTCGTATTTTGCGACCTGCAGGAGCGGAAAGCAGGGAAAGAGAAGGGAAAGCAGGGAAAGAGAAGGGAAAGCAGGAGTTGGATTGGCTCAGCTGAGGCGGTCTTTAGCCAGGGCAGTATGGGGAGGAAGCGCTGGATGGATACCCAGGTCTGAGAATGTCTATGCCAAAGGCCCCTCAAATCAAATCAAGCACGCCTGCCCCCACCTGCGAGGCAGTTGAGCAGAGTGGTCTTGCCGGTGCCCCTGCCGCCCGTCACAGCTGTCACCTCCCCCGGTTTCACCCACCCCGTCACCCCCCGCACCAGGCACCGGCTGGCCTCGCTCCTCCTCCTCTCCTCAGCGCCCACCGACGACTTCCCCCAGGCGTTCTCAGGCGGGCCGGGCAGTGGCACGGAGCAGGAGAGGTTTTCAAAGGTGATAAGGTACGGGGTGAAGGGGATGTTGCAATCAGTCACCGCTGCCTCTGCTGCCCCTGCTGCCTCCGCTGCTGCTGCTGCCGCTTCCTCTGCTGTTTCAGCATACCGTGAGCTCCCATCTCTGTCCCTCACACTCACAGGACCCCACTCCACATCTCTGTAGCTCAGTTGCCTCCCCAGCCCTCCCTGCTCTCCCTGCCCTCCCTGCTCTCCCTGCCTTCCCTGCTCTCCCTGCCCTCCCTGCTCCCCTGCTCCTGCAGACACTTTTTGGGAACCACCCTCCCCTTCACCCGCTGCTGCTCCCTCCTTCCCACTGCCCCTCTCCTGACCTGGACCCCCCAGGACCGCCCTAACTGCCTCCAGAGCCCTCGTTGCTGATCCCCCACCCACTCCCCCATTCCCCTTCCCGTTCCCCTCCTCCCTCGTGCCAGCCCGTTTTTCCCCGCGCTTGGCCTCGGATAGAACCCTCACAGGCGCAGCAAAGGTGCTGTAGTGCTGCGGCCGCATGCTCAGATACGTCCCCACCGTCCAAATGGCAATCCACGCGAGGATCACAAACGGCCCTGCGATCAAAAACCCCCATTCGTAGTTCCAGCTGTATTCTTCCATATAGGCTCGGCCGATCGGCCACCCCTCGCGGCCCACACAGTACGGCATGCTTGTCGGGACCAGCGCAGGAGCCGGGCAGAACCGCACAGGAACGAACATCCGCTGCTCGTTGATTGCCAGAACCGTCGACGCCCACTGCATGGGGTTGATCCAGTATAGCCAGATCCAGAAACTTGGTATAAGTGCCTTGGCGACGAGGATGTGGCCGAAGAGGAACATGCCCGGGCCCATGAAGATTGCTGCGGCGAACGCGGCGGAGCGGAGCGTGCGGGAGGTGAAGGCGATGAAGCGGATCATGGCGGCGCCGTGGATGGCCACGAGGGAGAGCGCTGCGAGGAAGATGAAGAAGTGCGCTCCGTAGTCAGAGAGAGTGAGGCCCGAGAGGAAATACACGAGCACTGACCATATGGTGGCCTGTTAAAGGGGTGGGTGGGGGGAAGGGAAGTGGAGGAGGGCGGAAAGGGGGTTTTGAGTGAGGGAGGTTGGGGTGATGTGGCCGAAGAGGAACATGCCCGGGCCCATGAAGATTGCTGCGGCGAACGTGGCGGAGCGGAGCGTGCGGGAGGTGAAGGCGATGAAGCGGATCATGGCGGCGCCGTGGATGGCGACGAGGGAGAGCACTGCGAGGAAAATGAAGAAGTGCGCCCCGTAGTCCGTGAGTGTCAGGCCTGATAGGAAATACACCAGCACCGACCAGATGGTCGCCTGTGATGGGGAGGGAAGGGGGGAGGGGGTGGGGGAAGAGGTGGGGAGGGTGGAGGGAGGAGTGGTGGGTTTAGGGAGCAGGTGGAGGCTTGAATTCCTAGAGGACATACACCAGCACTGACCAGATGGTCACCTCCAAGGGGGGGAGAGGGAAGTAGGGATTTGGGGAGGAGGCAGACCGTGAGCCTAGTGACGATTGCCCATCACAATTGCCTGTCGTTGAGGCACATGGCAGCGTAAGAGGAAGGAGCACGCAACGCAAGCAGATTGGACCGTGTGCAGCAAAAGAGCGTGCTGTGCTTACCTCGACTCGACCGCGGTGAGTGGCGGGCTCAACTACATTCCATCCAAATTCTTTCCACATTCACATTCACATTCACATTCACATTCGCATTCACATCACACACACGTGTCCGAAATTCCTCTACCCCGCCCCACCCATGCACCAACCCACCTCGACTATTGAGAGCCGCAGGCTGGCGATGAGCTGGGAGAGCGCGTAGGAGCGCGCAAGATTTACCCCCCACACACCCTGACAACTCCCAAGGCATGCCTACAGTAACAACGTACAGCTGTCCCTCCCCACCCGCCCACCCACCTCGACGATGGAGAGCGGCAGGCTGGCGATGAGCTGCGAGAGTGCGTAGGAGCGAGTGCGGAAGAAGCGGGCGCTGCGGTGCTTGAAGTAGACCTGGCGCTCAAGCATGTAGCCGGGCAGCAGGCTCACGTTGTTCACCGTCATGGTGATGAGCGAGATCTGCATCACGCCCCGCCGCAGGTTCAGGTGTGCAAAAGAGGGCGGCTCTGCTGGCAGCTGGAAGAAATCAAATCCCACAAAGAGACCCAGCAGGGTGACCTGGGGAAGGAAGGGAGAAGGGAGAAGGGAGAGTGAGAGGGTGGGTCAATAAAAAAACAAGTATTTCTATTCAATTCAGATGGAGGGAGGTGAGTAGGGAGCTGGAAGAAATCAAAGCCTACAAAGAGACCCAGCAGGGTGACCTGCAGAGGGAGAGAGGGAGGGAGGAGGGGGAGGGAGGGAGGAAGGGGAGGGCAGGTCAGCAGATGACTTAGAAGGTGGATAGAAAACAAACCCCTCCTCTTAGAAGGTGGATAGAAAACAAGCCCCTGCTCTTACCAGCAGCAGGCGGGCAGCAAGGAAGCTCCGGTTGCGCAGGTTGACTTGCATTTGGCGCCACAACAGCAGCTTCAACTCCGGCCACATGTCCAGAATCAACTCCTTCCGCAGCAGCTCCCTGTTCTCGCCCCCCCACAGCCCCGCCATCACCGCCGCCCGCGACGCCGCCGCTGCAGCAGACAGGTTTATGGCTTTAAGTGCCTGTGCGGCGCCCTTGCCCCGCAGCTGCATGAAATCCCCGCCCCTCCTCGTGCTGCCGTGTATCCCTTGGAGCGCCACGGAGTTGATAGTTTTGAAGGCTGCTGTGATAGCGCGCGGGATGGCCTTTGGGAGCGACTGGATGCCTCCTTTCTTGCTCCGCTTCGTGCTCCCTGCTGCTGCTTCAGCTGTCTCGTGCTCTCCCTCGTTGCCCAGACCTGCCCTGTCCTGACCTGCCTCGTCCGGACCTGCCGCGCCCGGTTCGGCACTGTCGCACCTGGCAATGTGGCTGACGAGAGCACGTGTGTCATCACCATCATCATGACTGCCATTGGCGTCCGCACGACTCTTATGGATGTCAACACGGGTTTCGTTGACATCCGAAGGGGCGGCCGCCACGCCTGCACCACCACCACCACCACCACCACCACCACCACCACCACCACCACCACCACCACCACCACCACCACCACCACCACCACCACCACCACCACCACCACCACCACCACCACCACCACCACCACCACCACCACCACCACCACCACCACCACCACCACCACCACCACCATCACCCCCACCACCACCTCCACCACCTGCAGCGGTAGCAGCAGCACCACCAGCGCTCGCACTAGCAGAGCCCGCCTGTGCCTCCACGTCGCTGGGTGCCTGGGTGCTGCTGCTGCTGCCACCTATCAGCTGCTCGCTTTCCTCCCCCTTGTCATCGCTGCTGCTGCCGCCTTGGGCGGCTGCTTCCTGGCTGGGTTCTCCTTGGGTCCCTGCAGTGTTCTGGACGAGGGACGGGAGAAGGCAGGAGAGGGGGACCCTTAAACCCTTCACCTTAAACCCTAGAAACCGTTAAACCCTGTATGACAGAGAGGACCAGTGGAAGGGCGTGCGACGATATCTAGAGGCACAGGCAAGATATGCAGGGATGCATGACCCTTGCAGGGATGCATGACCCTTGCAGGGATGCATGACCCTTGCCAAATTGAAACCCCATGCAACAACTCCCACACCCCCAGCGTGCCCTCACCGGCTGCGTGACTGTAAGGAGCGGTCGCTGCAGCTCCAGATGCAGCCACGTGGAGTTGTCCCTCACCTCCTCCGGCATCTCCATTATCTCCTCTACCGGCACATCCCCCCCTCCACCCACACACACACAGGCACTCACCTGTTGTGTGACTATAAGGAGGGGTCGCTGCAGCTCCAAGTGCAGCCACGTGGTGCTATCCCTCACCTCATCCAACATCTCCATAATCTCCTCTACCGGTACATCCCCCCCCGCATACCGCGCATACTCCATCTCACCCCGATCGCCCACCGTCACAGCAACCACCACATCCCCCACACACACCGGCCCCGTCGCCTCCACCCCCTCTTCCAACAGCCCTGCCTCTCCCTTTCTCCCTCTCCCCTTCCTCCCCCCTCTTCCTCCCCCACCTCCCTCTGTGTCACCTCCGCCTGCCTCTGCTCCTCCTCTCCCTCCTCCCTCACCAAAGAGTACACGAGACTCTGTCACCATGACTGCTTGATAAGACGAGCCTTTCGCTTCTCCCGCACTCTCTGCTGCTCCGCTGCTTGCTACTGCATCACCCTGCTGCTGCTCTCCTTTCACCTCGCCATTTGTCGCTGATGTGGCAGCACTGATGTCTGCTGACGCGGCGTCGGGCGCCACGTCAGCGATCGCGCAGCGGATCCGGGAAAGGACGTGGCATGCCGGCCCGGAGATCCAGAGCATGAGGAGAGGCGTGGGGTGGCTTGTGACACGGAGGATGTTCTTGTAATGAGGGGACTTCTTGTATGCACGCACTGTTGGCAAAAAGGCAAAATGGATGGGTGTATGAAAGAAATACAATGGGGAACACATGGGGATAGGAAGAAAAGGCAGGATATACTTAGAGATAACAAGCAGTATGCCATAACCACGTGCATCACTATAACATAATTACACATCCAAACTCAGGCTTGCTGACCCGATACACAAGCCTTCATACGAATATACTGAAACCCTCTTTTCCAAGACACTGCCTTAAGGGAGCCAAGTCAAAGCGACAGAATGGAAGGCCTCTCACCCCACTCAGTGACAGCATTGAACCCTTTTGATTTTTGAGGCGCCTCAAAAATCGCCTAAGTACTCGCGGATTTTATGTGGAGAGGTTTATAACTGCTTGGAAGTGTTCTCGTAACTTGCAAAAGTTACTGGTTCGTGCGCGGTTACCAAAATGACAGGTGTGTTGAAGACTTTCCCGAAGGCTGACTCTGCACCCTGGGTGTTTCCCATTGCTTAGTTGGCGATTGCTTGTAAAATACAATCTGGGTAGTTGGTTGACACAAAGTAGATCTCGAGGGCAGTAGGCTAGTACTTAGCGAGCTGCTGCTCTAAGCCCTTCTTTCTTGTGTGGATCTGACAAGCACTGATGAAGGCTGATCGGGTTTAACCCGTTGGCCGAAACTAGTTTGCGATTAGGATTCTTACGAGTTAAGGGGTTTCTTGTACTACTTCAATTTCTGGGAAGTTTTTTACAGTTTCGTTCCTTACAGTTGCTTAAGCGTTTTCTTCAGGATTTGCAGCTATTCCGATATGAGTTTGGTTTGAGACGTCTCAAAACTCAGTGACAGCATTGAACCCTTTTGAGACGTCTCAAAACTCAGTGACAGCATTGAACCCTTTTGAGACGTCTCAAAACTCAGTGACAGCATTGAACCCTTTTGAGACGTCTCAAAACTCAGTGACAGCATTGAACCCTTTTGAGACGTCTCAAAACTCAGTGACAGCATTGAACCCTTTTGAGACGTCTCAAAACTCAGTGACAGCATTGAACCCTTTTGAGACGTCTCAAAACTCAGTGACAGCATTGAACCCTTTTGAGACGTCTCAAAACTCAGTGACAGCATTGAACCCTTTTGAGACGTCTCAAAACTCAGTGACAGCATTGAACCCTTTTGAGACGTCTCAAAACTCAGTGACAGCATTGAACCCTTTTGAGACGTCTCAAAACTCAGTGACAGCATTGAACCCTTTTGAGACGTCTCAAAACTCAGTGACAGCATTGAACCCTTTTGAGACGTCTCAAAACTCAGTGACAGCATTGAACCCTTTTGAGACGTCTCAAAACTCAGTGACAGCATTGAACCCTTTTGAGACGTCTCAAAACTCAGTGACAGCATTGAACCCTTTTGAGACGTCTCAAAACTCAGTGACAGCATTGAACCCTTTTGAGACGTCTCAAAACTCAGTGACAGCATTGAACCCTTTTGAGACGTCTCAAAACTCAGTGACAGCATTGAACCCTTTTGAGACGTCTCAAAACTCAGTGACAGCATTGAACCCTTTTGAGACGTCTCAAAACTCAGTGACAGCATTGAACCCTTTTGAGACGTCTCAAAACTCAGTGACAGCATTGAACCCTTTTGAGACGTCTCAAAACTCAGTGACAGCATTGAACCCTTTTGAGACGTCTCAAAACTCAGTGACAGCATTGAACCCTTTTGAGACGTCTCAAAACTCAGTGACAGCATTGAACCCTTTTGAGACGTCTCAAAACTCAGTGACAGCATTGAACCCTTTTGAGACGTCTCAAAACTCAGTGACAGCATTGAACCCTTTTGAGACGTCTCAAAACTCAGTGACAGCATTGAACCCTTTTGAGACGTCTCAAAACTCAGTGACAGCATTGAACCCTTTTGAGACGTCTCAAAACTCAGTGACAGCATTGAACCCTTTTGAGACGTCTCAAAACTCAGTGACAGCATTGAACCCTTTTGAGACGTCTCAAAACTCAGTGACAGCATTGAACCCTTTTGAGACGTCTCAAAACTCAGTGACAGCATTGAACCCTTTTGAGACGTCTCAAAACTCAGTGACAGCATTGAACCCTTTTGAGACGTCTCAAAACTCAGTGACGGCATTGAACCCTTTTGAGACGTCTCAAAACTCAGTGACAGCATTGAACCCTTTTGAGACGTCTCAAAACTCAGTGACAGCATTGAACCCTTTTGAGACGTCTCAAAACTCAGTGACAGCATTGAACCCTTTTGAGACGTCTCAAAACTCAGTGACAGCATTGAACCCTTTTGAGACGTCTCAAAACTCAGTGACAGCATTGAACCCTTTTGAGACGTCTCAAAACTCAGTGACAGCATTGAACCCTTTTGAGACGTCTCAAAACTCAGTGACAGCATTGAACCCTTTTGAGACGTCTCAAAACTCAGTGACAGCATTGAACCCTTTTGAGACGTCTCAAAACTCAGTGACAGCATTGAACCCTTTTGAGACGTCTCAAAACTCAGTGACAGCATTGAACCCTTTTGAGACGTCTCAAAACTCAGTGACAGCATTGAACCCTTTTGAGACGTCTCAAAACTCAGTGACAGCATTGAACCCTTTTGAGACGTCTCAAAACTCAGTGAGAGCATTGAACCCTTTTGAGACGTCTCAAAACTCAGTGACAGCATTGAACCCTTTTGAGACGTCTCAAAACTCAGTGACAGCATTGAACCCTTTTGAGACGTCTCAAAACTCAGTGACAGCATTGAACCCTTTTGAGACGTCTCAAAACTCAGTGACAGCATTGAACCCTTTTGAGACGTCTCAGAACTCAGTGACAGCATTGAACCCTTTTGAGACGTCTCAAAACTCAGTGACAGCATTGAACCCTTTTGAGACGTCTCAAAACTCAGTGACAGCATTGAACCCTTTTGAGACGTCTCAAAACTCAGTGACAGCATTGAACCCTTTTGAGACGTCTCAAAACTCAGTGACAGCATTGAACCCTTTTGAGACGTCTCAAAACTCAGTGACAGCATTGAACCCTTTTGAGACGTCTCAAAACTCAGTGACAGCATTGAACCCTTTTGAGACGTCTCAAAACTCAGTGACAGCATTGAACCCTTTTGAGACGTCTCAAAACTCAGTGACAGCATTGAACCCTTTTGAGACGTCTCAAAACTCAGTGACAGCATTGAACCCTTTTGAGACGTCTCAAAACTCAGTGACAGCATTGAACCCTTTTGAGACGTCTCAAAACTCAGTGACAGCATTGAACCCTTTTGAGACGTCTCAAAACTCAGTGACAGCATTGAACCCTTTTGAGACGTCTCAAAACTCAGTGACAGCATTGAACCCTTTTGAGACGTCTCAAAACTCAGTGACAGCATTGAACCCTTTTGAGAAGTCTCAAAACTCAGTGACAGCATTGAACCCTTTTGAGACGTCTCAGAACTCAGTGACAGCATTGAACCCTTTTGAGACGTCTCAAAACTCAGTGACAGCATTGAACCCTTTTGAGACGTCTCAAAACTCAGTGACAGCATTGAACCCTTTTGAGACGTCTCAAAACTCAGTGACAGCATTGAACCCTTTTGAGACGTCTCAAAACTCAGTGACAGCATTGAACCCTTTTGAGACGTCTCAAAACTCAGTGACAGCATTGAACCCTTTTGAGACGTCTCAAAACTCAGTGACAGCATTGAACCCTTTTGAGACGTCTCAAAACTCAGTGACAGCATTGAACCCTTTTGAGACGTCTCAAAACTCAGTGACAGCATTGAACCCTTTTGAGACGTCTCAAAACTCAGTGACAGCATTGAACCCTTTTGAGACGTCTCAAAACTCAGTGACAGCATTGAACCCTTTTGAGACGTCTCAAAACTCAGTGACAGCATTGAACCCTTCTGAGACGTCTCAAAAGTTGAACCCTTTACTACACTCCACCCATCTCAGTCCCACGCAGCATCAGCTCCATCCGTCAGCTTATCAAACTCCTCAGCACCATGCGCACTCGCTGAACCCCTCGTGCAGCAGTGTCCTCTTGCCGCACCTGAGGGCCCCTTTGGCTTTTGAGGTCACCTCAATCACACTCCGTGACCCGCTCACATACCTCAAGCCCTCGAGCACCAGCTTTCTCTTGCCCGACCTGAGGCCACCCCCGCTCTCCGTGGTGACGTGCTGCAGATATGTACCATCTCACTCCCCCAGCCCCATCATCCTACCGAACAGAACCGAACCCCTCTACACCACACTCACCGAACCCCTCAGTAGCACCACACTCACCGAACCCCTCAGTAGCACCACACTCACCGAACCCCTCGAGCACCAGCTTCCTCTTGCCCGATCTGAGCGCGCCTCCGCTCTCCGTGGTGACGTGCTGCAGATACTCCGGCACTGACATGTGTAGCGGCTTCAGGTAGCTGTGGGGGAGGACGTTGGGGAGGGGGGGGAGAGAAGAGATGGGGGGAGAGAGGAGATGGGGGGAGAGAAGAGATGGGGGGAGAGAGGAGATGGGGGGAGAGAAGAGATGGGGGGAGAGAGGAGATGGGGGAGAGAAGAGATGGGGGGAGAGAGGAGATGGGGATGATGAGTCAGGGAATGAGGACGAGGCAAGTCAGTAAGGGTGGTGACGTGCTGCAGATACAGTAAAGGGTGCTGAGGGGAGGGAGAGGGTGGGGAGCGGGGAGTGGGAAGGAGTGGCGGAATGAAGAAGAGGTGAGACAGTAATGGCATTCACACACACACACACACACACACACACACACACACACGCACACACACACACACACGCACACACACACACACACACACACACACACACACGCACGCACGCACACACGCACGCACACGTCTCTCTCTCCTCTCTCTCACCCGAGGTGCTGGAAGTGCCTGAGAGCGGCGTGGCAGGCCCCTGGTAGACAATGTTGCCCTGGTTGAGTGCAGCACCATGACACACACACATAGGCATGAGCAAAGGGCGAACTCGAACATGTTCGAGTTCGCCCAGCCTCGAACATGTAGTTTTGCCGAACCGAACACTGTTCGGTTCGGCGAACTAATTAGCTGAAACTTGGTGTTCGCCGTTCGCCCTAAGTGGCGAACGATTTTTTTCAACAGGCGAACACGAACATGTTCGAGACGAACATGTTCGTATTCGCCCAGGGGAAAATTCACTATAGTCACACATATCAGAAAACAGTTTTCAAGGTTCAGGATGATAGCAAAATGTGTGCAAGGTGTATATGTGTGCATGCAACGAACCCAATAGTACAACATCACATACTGTGAAGAGAAATGTCAAAGTCTAACAAATTCCTACATTAAGGCGCCACTGCTACTACCAACAACAGCATCCTCTCCACCAGCTGTGTCGTCAGCCTCCACACCCTCCTCCTCCTCCTCCTCGTCATCCTCCTCTGCCCCCTCGCCCTCAATGGCGAACTCTGGTGGGCGACGCCTCTCGGTCGGCGGCCCTCGCCTATCCTCTGGCCAGGGTGTGAACTGTACCATGATCTGAGAATCATGACAGCTCGCGTCCTCTGAGAGGCCAGGCGGTGCCGCTTCCAGGAAATGAGGTTGCGACCAAGGGAGAACACCCGCTCACTCGAAGCGGACGTGGCAGGGATGGCGAGATAATCCCGGGCCATGCGCCTCAGCGTCTGCATGTTGGTGGCACTGCGCCAGTACTCTAGCGCTGTCACGTCGCACCGCACCCTCTCGGACAAGTACCTGCTAACCTCGTCGTCCTGCACCATCCCACCCGCCCCCGCATCCTGGCTCGCCGACAGACGCGCCGCAAGTCGTCGGCGACTAGGGAGAAACTGCGCGTCATCGTCATCCTCCTCCTCGTCTCCCTCCTCCTCCGCAACGGGGGCAAGTGGGGTCGGCCGTGGAGCAAGCTCTGCAGCCCGGGCCTGGTACTCGGCCACGCGGTCGCGCACCAGCTTGATCACCTCGCCAGACGCCGGACGCGGCCTCACCCTCCTGTCGGTCTCGGGATGCAGCTTCTCCCAGTGCGCGTCGTCGAACCACGCCGCCTTCATGGAAGGGTCCAAGAAGGTGGCGATCCAGTACTCGTTGCTGGTGATGTACGCGTACTTCTTCAAGTGGCTCAGCGCCGCCACGATCATTGGCTGCAGCGTCGGAGATGGCCCCTTGGCAAGGCGCGACTCCATGGCGTCGATCAGGCCGTTGTAGTACGGCACCACCATCTACACAGTCGGGTACGCCGCCCCCTCTGCTGCCTTGGAGACCTTGGCGAAGGGGCTTAGGAATGTCTTCACCGCCTGCAGGGTCTCCCAGTCTGCGTCTGTCAGGCGCAAACTTTCCACCTTCTTCTTGTCGGTCTTCGACAAGCCCTGTCGGGTAGAGGGAATGGTTTGGGGGGAGGTATGAGGGAAACTGTGATTATGGAGGAGGATTATGGCATCCGGCCGGCAACATACAAGCATGACCAACAATATTGTGTAGACGTGCTAACACACGACACCATGACATAACCACACACTACAACCCACACAAAACACAAGTGTTACCTGTGTCTGGGCGAAGAAGACAGTGATGGGGTTCTGCAGAACACCCGCACGCTCGACCATGTCGTGGGTCGACCCCCAGCGCGTAGGACTGTCCTGCACCAGCTTCAACGCCGGCTTCGGCGTGGGGGGGTTGGCCTGCGAGTTCAAGGTCCGCTGTAGGCCCAAGAAAGACCCCGAGCACTGTGGAGAGAAGCCAATCCACGACGCCATCTCTCTCAGTATCTTCAGCAACTTCCGTATGGAATCCACAGCCAGTGCTGCCTGCACTGCAAGGTTTATCACGTGTGCCAAGCACCTGCGCACGGAACACAACATTAGGGAAAGAGATAAGGGGAAGTATTAGGACACATGGTTAGAGCGAGCCACAAAACCAACAAAGGCAAAAACACACGCCCACAAAGGCAAACACACGCCCACACTCCCGCACGCCCAACCCACGCACACTCCCACACTCACCGGAAGTGCATGCGCGAGCTGAAGAAGCACTGACCACCACCCTCCTCCGACATCCGCCTGAAGGCGGCAATGTTGCTAGAGGCGTTGTCTGTCGTGAAACCAAGACAACGCCCCTCCAACCCCCACTGCACAATCGTCTCCTCAACCACCTGCGCCATCTCCCTGCCCCCATGCCGCCCGAGCATCTCACGGAACTCAAGCACCATTGTGCGCAGCTGGAAGTTCTCGTCTATCCAGTGACCTGTCACCACTAGCCATGCCTTGTTGTTGGGTGCCGTCCACATGTCGATGGTGATCGACACCTTGCACCCCAACTCCCCCTCCTTCGCCAGCATCTCCGCAATGGCGGACTGGAGAGCTGCTGTTGCATAGACCACAGTGTCGCGGGATACCGTCCACCGCGAGGGGATGAAGTTCTTCTGTGCGCAGTTGCGGTTTAGCAGGATCAATAGCTCCCGAAACTGAAGGAGGGTAGAGGAGAGACAACTGTGAATGGTGGACATCCGAATGGTGGACATGTGAATGGTGGACATGTGAATGGTGGACATGTGAATGGTGGACATGTGAATGGTGGACTGAACGTGCAGAGATGTGACTGTACGTGCTGAGATGTGACTGTACGTGCTGAGATGTGACTGTACGTGCTGAGATGTGACTGTACGTGCTGAGATGTGAATGGTGGACATGTGAATGGTGGACATGTGAATGATGGACATGTGAATGGTGGACATGTGTATGGTGGATATGTCAATGGTGGATTACAATAGAAGCATGAAATAGTCAACCACACACATACTGCCAAAACACCAGGCATGGGACACTCACGGCCTCGGACTCGACGATGCGGAAGGGGAGGTCGCAGGTGACCACCAGCTTGGCGATCGCCTGCCGTAGCTCCTCCGTGGACAGCTTGGTTGTCATGAACCGCTCCATCCCGCCTGACCCCGGAGCTCCACCGGACGCCGTCCCTTTCTTCTTTGCGAGATGCGGCCAAGACTTGGCATGCGGCCACCCATCGACGTAGCCATCCGGCACACCCTTGTAGCCCCCACGAGGAAACGTCTCCCCAGGCAAGTGAAAGGACGGAGTGTGGTAACGGTGATGCCACACGTGCATGTGCGCTGTGTGGTAGCTCTCAAAGTGCCGCTCGCCGGGTGTTGTCGTGGATTGCTTCCACGAAATCCTGTCAGTGCAAATCTTGCACTGACGCTTCTCGTCTGCCCCTTTAGGCCCGAACATCTGTACTTGCCACCCCGGTTTTTTATTACCCTTGCCAGTCCCCTTACTACTCTCGAACCCTCCGTCCTCGTCTAGGAACTCCGGAGCGACCACACCCTCGCCCAAGGGCTTCCCAGTGAATGTGCAGGGATATGCTCGCTCCCTCAACTTGCTCGCCCTCTTCCTCCGCTTCGGCATCCTAATGGATGCCCGCTTTCTCCCCACCTTAACCCCCACGCTCCCTCCTCCTTCAGCCACATGCTGTGAGGCCGCCTCTGTCGCCGCCCCTTCACCACCCTCTCCCACCCCCTCCTCCACCTCCTCTGGCTCCAACCCATCCATCTCATGGTCCTCCTCATCATCCCCCCCTTTCCCACCGCCATGCGTCTCGGGATCCCACCCGGCCTCACTGTCATCCCCGCTCCCTTCATGGTCCTCATCCTCCTCGCCCTCACCCTCCTCCTCCTCATCCTCCTCCCCACTGCCACTCTCCGGCTGCGTCTGCCCAGAAGGAGGGGGTCGCGGGCCTGAGTAACGGAACGAGTGACGGGACGTCGGCGCCGCTACGGAAAGAAACCCCCCGACGAAACAAGCGCCGGCTCCTGCAGGTCCATCCCCTACTCGCCCCTACATAGGTCGTGGTGGAGAACCTGGTGTACCGCCCTGAGCGCTGCGTGCACCTCGTTCTACAGATCCATGTTGGCTAGAAGCCATAAATCCGCTCTCGGCCTTAAAACCCTAAAACCCCAAAGGAACGGTCGCAAGCCACGGATAGCACGGTCCTAATTGAACTCCTAGGTACGTGTGGCACGGAGAAATGCCCGCCCCTACAACTAGGGAATTAGCCTCTACGAAATTGATCCCGTAGCTACTACGAACTAACCCCTCGCGATTTCTGAAATTACCCTTCACTCACTACTACGAACTACTTAGTTGACATGTTCGTGTAATAGTTAGGGAACGGTGTGTGGTGGCTATAGCCTATTAGGGATGAAGCCTATGGTGGTTGAGGGAGGGAGGGCTAACCAACAAAAAACGATTTGAGTTTGAGCTCAAAAAATGAGCTCAAACTCAAATTGGCCGCGACCTAAATTTGGTCGCGGCCAATTTTGACGCGAACACTTTGGTGTTCGCGTCATGCACAAAACGAACACGAACATGTTCGTGTTCGTCCAACCTCCCCGAAACTTGGGTGGCGATCGGCGAACATGTTCGGGCGAACACCGAACATGTTCGCCTCGAACTATTTTTTCCAAAAAAAAAAATAGTTCGGTTCGCCTCGAACATGTTCGAGGCGAACCGAACAGGTGTTCGAGTTTTTGCTCATGTCTACACACACACACACACAAACAACAAAAGATGCGCGTATCCGACGCTCACCCGAGCTGCTGGAAGTGCCTGAGCGCGGTGTGGCAGGGCCCTTGATAAACGATATTGCCCTGGTTGAGCACGATGACCCGGTCGAAGAGGGAAAAGACCGCCTGTGTGGGCCACTGCAGCGAGCACAGCACCGCGTGTTGCCGCACCTGGTGTGCGCGTGTGGGTGGGGCGGGTGTGGTGTGGGTGGGTGTGGGTGGGGCGGGTGGGGTGTGGGTGGGTGTGGGGGTGTGGGTGTGGGTGTGTGGTGTGTGGGTGTCCAGGGGGTAGAAAGAGAGAGGAGAGGGGCAGAGTGCGGTGAGGTGCCTCAGAGTTGGTTGAGCACGATAACACGGCCAAAGAGGGAGAACCCGGCCTGTGTGGGCAACTGCAGGGAACACAGCACTGTGTGCTGTGTGTGTGAGGGTTGGTGTGGGGGTGGGGCGGGGTGTGGCTGTCAGTAAGAAGGTGAGCACGATAACACGGTTAATGAGGGTGAGGGGGGATGACATGCACAGTGCACGCACACACAAACAGCAGCTGACCTGGGCATGGGTGCGCAGCAGGGTGAGAGTCTTGTGGGTGGAGGGCCCGTCGTACACCTGACTGATGCGATCGAACAACAGCACCTGATAATGGGGTTGGGGAAAAGGGGCAGAGGGGGAGAGAAGCAGCACATGAGAGTGGGGTGAGCACATGCGATGAGCGGATTTTTTAGGCGCCCAAAAATCGTCACATGTGGTGAGGGTACATGTGGGATGAGAGGGTGTGCGCATGTTAGGCATGAGCACCCGGGTGCAAAGTCACAACTATTACAGCAGACACACAGCATCCCAAACCACCCTCTCGCCCTCTCGCCTTTCGAGTCAACTCAACACTCACCGGGTAACTAACCCCCACCTCATTCCACCCTCTCACCCTTCGATCGATAGGCATCTCAGCACTCACCGGGTATGAGCCAACCATGAGCTCAGCAGCAGTCAGCCGGTGCACCTCATCCCGAGTCAGCGCTCCAACCTTCTCTCCCGCGTGCCTCCGCAGCCCAAACATGGCTTCCCTAGACGCCACTAGTGGATCCTCGCCCCTCTCTATGCTCGCCCGTAGCGCCTTGCTGAGCATGGGGTGCTGCAGCAGCTGCTTGGCAGAGAGCGGGTACGAGCAGTGGCGGGCGAAGACTAGGGTTTCGTGCACGGAGAGAGCGGGGAGATGGCAGTCGGCCTCGAAGCCCACCCCCACAAGGCGGTGCGCGCGGGAGGGCATGATGGGGAGCGCGTTGAAGGAGATGGTGCCGGTGGTGGCGGGCTGGCGGCCGGCTAGCAGCTTGATGAGCATCGACTTGCCGCTGCCTGTGGGGTTGGGTTGCGGGGATGGATGAACAGGGCAGGGAGGGCGTGATGGGGAGAGCATTGAACGAGACGGTACGCGCTGAGGCAGGTTATCGGCCGGCTAGCAGCTTGATGAGCATCGACTTGCCACTACCTGTTGGGCAACCAGGGGGAGGGGCGGGGTTGCGTTGTGGGGGAGGACGGAAGGGTTGGGGGAGGGGGACTGGAGCACAGGTACAGGTGAAGGCGAGGGTCTCAGGTTATGTGCACGGAGAGGGCGGGGAGATGGCAGTCGGCCTCGAAGCCAACCCCCACGAGGGGGTGCGCGCGGGAGGTCGTGATGGGGAGGGCATTGAAATTTGAAGGAGACTGTGCGGGTGGAGGCTGGTTGTCTGCAGGCCAGCAGGCAGATAAGCGTTGACTTGCCGCTGCCTGTGGGTGGGTGGGGTGTGTGGGGGATGGATGAATATGGCGGGGAGATGAAGGCCAGGTGCCGGTGGTGGCGGGCTGACTTTTGAGTCGACTCAAAAGCCACGGTGACGGTGGAGGCGGGCTGCCGGGCGGCAAGCAGGCGGATGAGCATTGATGTCCTGCTGCTTGTCAATGAGGGGGAAACAGAGGAGGGGTGGGGTTGGCTTGCCATTGCCTGTACCACAACGTGGGGACGAGCGAGCGAGAAGGGAATAACGGGGCGGTGGTGGGTGGGCGGCACGCAATGTTCACCAGCCGGCTGGCAATCTGAAGGTGGGTTCACCTGGGACCCACCTGAGGCCCACCTGAATGTCACCTGGGACCCGCCTGAGGCCCACCTGAATGTCACCTAGGACCCGCCTGAGGCCCCCCTGAGTCTCTCACCTGGGGCCCACCTGAGTCTCACCTGACGGGAGGTGGGTAGAGGAAGACAAGATAAGATCGGCTCACCTGAAGTTCCAAGGAGGAGTGTGAGAGTCCCTGGCATGAGGAAGCTGCAAGGAAAGTGTGGGATAAAACAGCGATGGAGGCAAGGCAGAGGTTGGGGGGGATGGAAGGGGAGAGCAGAAGGGCGGGGCAGGCAGGCTGGGAGGGAGAAGCAAGTCGCGCATGGATTGCGGACAGGTGTGTGGCATGTGGGTGGGACACACACGCAATGCATGTGCTCAACACACGAAGGTGAGATACAGTGTGCAGGGCAGGGCAGGGCAGGGCAGGGCAGGGCAGGGCAGGGCAGCGAGCACGAGGCTCACACTGAGACATATCGACGCGTGATACCGTGTGCGGCGGGACAGGAGAGGTGGAAAGGGCAGCAGAGGAGGGCAGGAGAGGTGGAAAGGGCAGCAGAGGAGGGCAGGAGAGGTGGAAAGGGCAGCAGAGGAGGGCAGGAGAGGTGGAAAGGGCAGCTGAGGAGGGCAGGAGAGGTGGAAAGGGCAGCAGAGGAGGGCAGGAGAGGTGGAAAGGGCAGCAGAGGAGGGCAGGAGAGGTGGAAAGGGCAGCAGAGGAGGGCAGGAGAGGTGGAAAGGGAGGGCAGGAGAGGTGGAGAGGGCAGCAGAGGAGGGCAGGAGAGGTGGAAAGGGCAGCAGAGGAGGGCAGGAGAGGTGGAAAGGGTAGCAGAGGAGGGCAGGAGAGGTGGAAAGGGCAGCAGAGGAGGGCAGGAGAGGTGGAAAGGGCAGCAGAGGAGGGCAGGAGAGGTGGAAAGGGCAGCAGAGGAGGGCAGGAGAGGTGGAAAGGGCAGCAGAGGAGGGCAGGAGAGGTGGAAAGGGCAGCAGAGGAGGGCAGGAGAGGTGGAAAGGGCAGCAGAGGAGGGCAGGAGAGGTGGAAAGGGCAGCAGAGGAGGGCAGGAGAGGTGGAAAGGGCAGCAGAGGAGGGCAGGAGAGGTGGAAAGGGTAGCAGAGGAGGGCAGGAGAGGTGGAAAGGGCAGCAGAGGAGGGCAGGAGAGGTGGAAAGGGCAGCAGAGGAGGGCAGGAGAGGTGGAAAGGGCAGCAGAGGAGGGCAGGAGAGGTGGAAAGGGAGGGCAGGAGAGGTGGAGAGGGCAGCAGAGGAGGGCAGGAGAGGTGGAAAGGGCAGCAGAGGAGGGCAGGAGAGGTGGAAAGGGTAGCAGAGGAGGGCAGGAGAGGTGGAAAGGGCAGCAGAGGAGGGCAGGAGAGGTGGAAAGGGCAGCAGAGGAGGGCAGGAGAGGTGGAAAGGGCAGCAGAGGAGGGCAGGAGAGGTGGAAAGGGCAGCAGAGGAGGGCAGGAGAGGTGGAAAGGGCAGCAGAGGAGGGCAGGAGAGGTGGAAAGGGCAGCAGAGGAGGGCAGGAGAGGTGGAAAGGGTAGCAGAGGAGGGCAGGAGAGGTGGAAAGGGCAGCAGAGGAGGGCAGGAGAGGTGGAAAGGGTAGCAGAGGAGGGCAGGAGAGGTGGAAAGGGTAGCAGAGGAGGGCAGGAGAGGTGGAAAGGGTAGCAGAGGAGGGCAGGAGAGGTGGAAAGGGCAGCAGAGGAGGGCAGGAGAGGTGGAAAGGGCAGCAGAGGAGGGCAGGAGAGGTGGAAAGGGCAGCAGAGGAGGGCAGGAGAGGTGGAAAGGGTAGCAGAGGAGGGCAGGAGAGGTGGAAAGGGCAGCAGAGGAGGGCAGGAGAGGTGGAAAGGGCAGCAGAGGAGGGCAGGAGAGGTGGAAAGGGCAGCAGAGGAGGGCAGGAGAGGTGGAAAGGGCAGCAGAGGAGGGCAGGAGAGGTGGAAAGGGCAGCAGAGGAGGGCAGGAGAGGTGGAAAGGGCAGCAGAGGAGGGCAGGAGAGGTGGAAAGGGCAGCAGAGGAGGGCAGGAGAGGTGGAAAGGGCAGCAGAGGAGGGCAGGAGAGGTGGAAAGGGCAGCAGAGGAGGGCAGGAGAGGTGGAAAGGGAGGGCAGGAGAGGTGGAGAGGGCAGCAGAGGAGGGCAGGAGAGGTGGAAAGGGCAGCAGAGGAGGGCAGGAGAGGTGGAAAGGGTAGCAGAGGAGGGCAGGAGAGGTGGAAAGGGCAGCAGAGGAGGGCAGGAGAGGTGGAAAGGGTAGCAGAGGAGGGCAGGAGAGGTGGAAAGGGCAGCAGAGGAGGGCAGGAGAGGTGGAAAGGGCAGCAGAGGAGGGCAGGAGAGGTGGAAAGGGCAGCAGAGGAGGGCAGGAGAGGTGGAAAGGGCAGCAGAGGAGGGCAGGAGAGGTGGAAAGGGCAGCAGAGGAGGGCAGGAGAGGTGGAAAGGGTAGCAGAGGAGGGCAGGAGAGGTGGAAAGGGTAGCAGAGGAGGGCAGGAGAGGTGGAAAGGGTAGCAGAGGAGGGCAGGAGAGGTGGAAAGGGCAGCAGAGGAGGGCAGGAGAGGTGGAAAGGGCAGCAGAGGAGGGCAGGAGAGGTGGAAAGGGCAGCAGAGGAGGGCAGGAGAGGTGGAAAGGGCAGCAGAGGAGGGCAGGAGAGGTGGAAAGGGCAGCAGAGGAGGGCAGGAGAGGTGGAAAGCGCAGCAGAGGAGGGCAGGAGGAGAGGTGGAAAGGGCAGCAGAGGAGGGCAGGAGAGGTGGAAAGGGCAGCAGAGGAGGGCAGGAGAGGTGGAAAGGGCAGCAGAGGAGGGCAGGAGAGGTGGAAAGGGTAGCAGAGGAGGGCAGGAGAGGTGGAAAGGGCAGCAGAGGAGGGCAGGAGAGGTGGAAAGGGTAGCAGAGGAGGGCAGGAGAGGTGGAAAGGGTAGCAGAGGAGGGCAGGAGAGGTGGAAAGGGTAGCAGAGGAGGGCAGGAGAGGTGGAAAGGGCAGCAGAGGAGGGCAGGAGAGGTGGAAAGGGCAGCAGAGGAGGGCAGGAGAGGTGGAAAGGGCAGCAGAGGAGGGCAGGAGAGGTGGAAAGGGCAGCAGAGGAGGGCAGGAGAGGTGGAAAGGGCAGCAGAGGAGGGCAGGAGAGGTGGAAAGGGCAGCAGAGGAGGGCAGGAGAGGTGGAAAGGGCAGCAGAGGAGGGCAGGAGAGGTGGAAAGGGCAGCAGAGGAGGGCAGGAGAGGTGGAAAGGGCAGCAGAGGAGGGCAGGAGAGGTGGAAAGGGCAGCAGAGGAGGGCAGGAGAGGTGGAAAGGGCAGCAGAGGAGGGCAGGAGAGGTGGAAAGGGCAGCAGAGGAGGGCAGGAGAGGTGGAAAGGGCAGCAGAGGAGGGCAGGAGAGGTGGAAAGGGCAGCAGAGGAGGGCAGGAGAGGTGGAAAGGGCAGCAGAGGAGGGCAGGAGAGGTGGAAAGGGTAGCAGAGGAGGGCAGGAGAGGTGGAAAGGGCAGCAGAGGAGGGCAGAAGAGGTGGAAAGGGTAGCAGAGGAGGGCAGGAGAGGTGGAAAGGGTAGCAGAGGAGGGCAGGAGAGGTGGAAAGGGCAGCAGAGGAGGGCAGGAGAGGTGGAAAGGGCAGCAGAGGAGGGCAGGAGAGGTGGAAAGGGCAGCAGAGGAGGGCAGGAGAGGTGGAAAGGGCAGCAGAGGAGGGCAGGAGAGGTGGAAAGGGCAGCAGAGGAGGGCAGGAGAGGTGGAAAGGGTAGCAGAGGAGGGCAGGAGAGGTGGAAAGGGCAGCAGAGGAGGGCAGGAGAGGTGGAAAGGGTAGCAGAGGAGGGCAGGAGAGGTGGAAAGGGTAGCAGAGGAGGGCAGGAGAGGTGGAAAGGGTAGCAGAGGAGGGCAGGAGAGGTGGAAAGGGCAGCAGAGGAGGGCAGGAGAGGTGGAAAGGGCAGCAGAGGAGGGCAGGAGAGGTGGAAAGGGCAGCAGAGGAGGGCAGGAGAGGTGGAAAGGGCAGCAGAGGAGGGCAGGAGAGGTGGAAAGGGCAGCAGAGGAGGGCAGGAGAGGTGGAAAGGGTAGCAGAGGAGGGCAGGAGAGGTGGAAAGGGCAGCAGAGGAGGGCAGGAGAGGCACGCACCCTGAGACATCGTCGAGCACGTGAATGGTCTCCTTCCTCTGCCATCCCGCAATGGCCTTGAGCTTGAAATAGGGCTGCTCCGTTGCGAGAGAGAGGGGCAGAGGGGGACAGAGAGGGACAGAGAGGGACAGAGAGGGACAGAGAGGGACAGAGAGGGACAGAGAGGGACAGAGAGGGACAGAGAGGGACAGAGAGGGACAGAGAGGGACAGAGAGGGACAGAGAGGGACAGAGAGGGACAGAGAGGGACAGAGAGGAACAGAGAGGAACAGAGAGGAACAGAGAGGAACAGAGAGGAATAGAGAGGAACAGAGAGGAACAGAGAGGAACAGATAGGAATAGAGAGGGGCAGAGAGGGGAGAGAGCGGGAGAGAGGAACAAAGCAGAACAGAGGGAAACAGAGGGGAACAGAGGGAAACAGAAGGGAACAAAGGGGAACAGACGGGCAAAGCGAGGGGCGAAGAGAGGGGCAGATGAAGGAGAAAAGACCGGGGAAGATAGGCAGTGAGAAGGGGTGTCAAGGAGGCGGTGACAAAGAGCACTTACGCAAATTGTGTTGCAAAGCACACCTCCTGTTCCCTCTTGCACACCCACTAGCTCCGCACCGCCCACATTTCAATGATGGCCTTGCTTGTGGCATGGAGCAACCTTGTCGTACAGCCAGTGGCCTTTGGGTCGACTCAAAAGACACCCGCTGGTTCCACTGGTTTCTCACTGCACCACCCCAAGGCTCACTCTCGCTCGCCGCCCCACCCTTCTGAGGATTCTAAAAATTTTCACCGCACCGGCCCACTCTCACCGCGTTGAAGCAGTTTTTTATTTGATCCGGAATGACCACCACCTTTTTTGTCACTGCCACGTGGTTGAATGTCACCACCTGATTGGACGGGTTGCACACGTGGGTTCATGGTTTGCTGAGTTGAGAGCGAGCGATCATGCAGGTCTGCACGCATGCACACACTCGCATGCACATGCGCACGCGCGCGCACACACACACACACACACACACACACACACACGCACGCACACACACACACATACAAACACGCACGCACGTGCACACACACACACACACACACACACACACGCACGCACGTTCACACGCACACGCAACGCACGCACGCACGCGCACACACACACACACACACACACACACACACACACACACACACACACACACACATGTGCTCCCTAGTTCTCACCTGCGGCTGCGCGCACAGCAGGTTCGGCTGCATGGCAATCAGATACTTCTGCAACCCCTCTCTCACCATCACCTCGCTCCTCGCCCCCTCCTCCTCCCCCTCCTCCTCGTTCTCCATCCGCCCCGGCCCCCACCCACCTCCCACTCCTCCTCCCCCTCTCCCTTCCCCCTCCTCTCCATCCTCCCCCTCCCCCTCCTCCTCCTCCTCCTCCGCGCTCCTCCCGCGCGGACCCATGCTCTTGATGCTCACGAGTCGCGCGGCGGCGGACGCGGCGATCTCCTGCGCCTCCTCCGCCAGCCCGTGCGCGGTGAGCGCGTCGTGGTACCGTCGGATCAGGTTGATCAACGGCGCCTCGCCGATCCCGAACAGCTCGTTGTAAAATGCCGAGGACGACGGGCCGCTAGAAGGCTCTTCCGCGTCGGAATCGCTGGGGAACGCGGAGGAAGCGGAGGAAATGGCGGAAGAGGCGGTAGCGAAGATGCCCGCGGCGGCGGAGTGCCAAGTGTCAGCACCGAGACCGGCGACCCCGCTTTGCCCCTCGCCGTAGATTGCATTCATGTCACTGTCATCTGCCGCATCCTCGTTATTAACCTCCTCCATTGTGCCGTCAACGCCGAGTTTCCACGTGGCAGCAGCAAAGCTCACTCGCCCGAGCTTCCCCCGCTTGACTCTCTGTCCGCTGCCCGCTTCATTTCCCCCTTCTCTGGCTCCCCCAGGCGCAGTTCCCTCGCGGCCATCTTGCCCGTCAGTTTCCCCCGTTCCTCCCCCCCACCCATCCTCTCCGCCTCCCCCGGCGGTACTACCTTCCCCGCGCGCTGGCTCCTCCCCCTCCGCTTCTTCCTCCTCGGACTCCGCGGCCTCTTTGATTGACCCGACTTGGTACAGCTTCGGCGCACCACCGGACGTGCTACTAGCGAAACTCGGGATCGCACCAACGAAGCTTGAGGTTTTTTCTGAGGAGCATCTTCCAGAAAGGTTGGGAGCGGTCCTGCTGCTGCTAGCAGGAGGGTTATTCAGCGAAGGGTCTAAGGACGGCTGAGCCATGAAAGATCGCGAGCTCGTGAAGGATTGCTGCCGACGCGACGACTGCTGACGTGTCGACTGCCGGCCCATCGACTGCTGACGCATCGTCAACCGACGCCGGAGCACGGCATAATCATTAGGCGCGGCGCCGCGACCGAGATCGTTGGTGGTGGAAGCCGGCGTGACGCCATCGTACCAATCGTCTAACGTATCGGGTACCACTGACGTGGCATCGTCAGGATCCAAGATGGATGGAGCCATGACGACGATTATGAACAGACAGTGGAGAGTTAAACGAGCGGGTTAGTGTAGACGCGACTCGGAATAAATAATCGTTTAATCGGACTACCGCCACGACTTGCGCAGTATTAAGAGATGTCGCATAGTCGCATTATCCGCCAAACGTTTATGCTTCCCCGACTTGTCTCCTATAACACGCCATGTGGCTTGCCGTGAAATCCCTGATCGCGTGCTGCACAGTCGCCGTGACGAGAAGAAACGACTTTCACATGATGCCACACAGAAAACATTTTCGTGATTCAAGGCTGCGATGCGAGGCTATAGGTTTGCCAACCAACAGTTCGTGAAGTCTTGTGAACCCAAGACTTCACGAACGCTGTTGTCTACTTCTTCCGCTGCTACGGCTTGCAACTGTTGTGGGTGAAAACAAATTTGTGAGCGGTACTCGCCGTAGGGAAGCTACACCTTCATGGATTTCATGGCTCACCCCGACTTTCCTTCCATCGACTTCTCGTGTTTAGTCTCGCCGTTCACTATCCTATCCACCTTACCCTTGGCTCTGCTAAGTTGTCTGCGTCTCCATGAACAAACTGCACCTTAACTCCGCCCGACTTTTCATAGAAGCAAAATCCGGATCGGTATCCAAACATGTTTTTTTCTTCTTCTTGGTAGGTGAAATATGCACTATACACGTACAATGCAAAAACACCGCGGTCGTAACCGTGTATCCAAACATGCTTGGGGGCTCGTTGTTAGCAAACATTTGCCAACTTTCTCTGTCCATGTACGGTGTTTGTTCGCAGAAAAACGACTTCACTCCTGCATTAAAACTTAAAATAGACGTCACATTAAACATCCCATAAAGCTTAATGTTTTAATCCGGTCAGGGAGTTTATCCAGATTGCCGATGAAATCCTCTAGCACTTCGCTTTGGTCCGATTTGAACGTCGCTGCACTGGGATGGTTCGGGGTAGGTTGCTATGGGATGCATTTTCTCGATTCTGGCTCGAACGTCGAAGCAATGGGGTGGTTCGGGATAGGTTGTTTTGGTCTGGGTGCCCATGTCTTTTCAGGGGTGCTTTGAGCGTGGAAAATTGCTCGAAAATTGAACTGCTACCGCATTGTACCGTGGTCATACGTCTCTACATTGTATTATAAAGTGTATGATCTCTCTAGATTGTTCCGAACATTCGCAATAGTTTAACCCCCGTGCAAGACGCCCATCTGGAAAATACTGTACAGTGTTTTGTATCTAACGGAATAGTCAGCATTTCGTATGTTGTAGAGCGTGGAACATGCGTTGACAATTTTCTGTAAGGACAAATAAGGAAAATATGCCATTCGTAACCATCATGGGACTCGATAACATCTTTGGTAAAAAAATAAAGGATACGGTCACTGCAAAGGGTGTTTTCACGCGAATAAAGGATAAAACGTTTCACGTAATCAGTCACTATCAAGTGGTAAAAAAAAAAAAAAAAAAACGTGAATGGTCATACATAGATGAAACTTCCGCCAAAACAAAATGAAACCACAAAATAACCTGGATGCATTTTCGGATGAATCAACCCTAAACACGTAACTCGCCAGGTGTTTAGGGTTGATCCGTTCCCAAACTGCATCCGATTCCGATTGGGTTTTAGTTTTTTTAGAAGTTAGCAAATTGGTTGGGCGCGAGCGGGAATTTTGTTCAGTTTCAAGTTTTTTTGGCGGGAGTTACATGTGTGACCATTCGCCTGATTTTCTACCTGTTGTTGTCAAACATTATATATGTTGTGTTAGTTTAGGCTACAGTGGGTTAGCCTATAGGGGGTACACAATTCTAGGGTTAGGTACTTGTACTCTTTTCATTGCTAGTTCATTCATTCCTGTTCAGTGATTCCAACATGGTATAGAGCAGGTCCTTCCTAGGACCGAAATTTTCTAAGGGCCCACCACTACGTAACTACCTACCTACCCGTGCCCTAGGGCGCCTCGGCGTGTCACGCCCCTAGAGGCCCCTCTTGACGGCCCCGCGCTAGCCCCGTTCAGGCCCCGTCGGCCCCTTTAAGGCCCCGTTCAGGCCCCGCGCTAGCCCCGTTTAGGCCCCGTCGGCCCCGTTTCAGGCCCCGTCGGCCCCGCGCTAGCCCCTCTCAGGCCCCGTCGGCCCGCGCTAGCCCCGTTTCAGGCCCCGTCGGCCCCGTTTCAGGCCCCGTCGGCCCCGCGCTAGCCCCTCTCAGGCCCCGTCGGCCCGCGCTAGCCCCGTTTCAGGCCCCGTCGGCCCGCGCTAGCCCCGTTTCAGGCCCCGTAGGCCCCGCGCTAGCCCCTCTCAGGCCCCGTCGGCCCCGCGCTAGCCCCATTCAGGCCCCGATCGGGCCCGCGCTAGCCCCGTTTCAGGCCCCTTCGGCCCCGTTTCAGGCCCCGTCGGCCCCGCGCTAGCCCCGTTCAGGCCCCGTCGGCCCCTTGCTAGCCCCGTCAAGGCCCCGTTTGGCCCCGCGCTAGCCCCGCTCAGGCCCCGATCGGCCCCGCGCTCGCCCCTCTAGGGCCCCAACCGGCCCCGTGCCTACCTCGCCGACCCGTGCCCACCACCCAGAGGCCCCGGGCGGCCCGTTCCCGCCGCAGCACAAGAGGGAGAGCGGGCGGCCCGTCCCCGCCGTGACCTGAGCCGAGCCGCGCGCCCCGAGCCGAGCCGCGCCACCCAGCCGAGCCGCGACCCGACCTGAACCGAGCCGCGCCGCCCTGCCCTACCTGGTTCGTCCTACCTGCTTCTCCTACCGCTACTGCTGCTATTTCTACTGTTCCTATGGCTAGCCCACAGGTTCTCGTGTTCGATGCTGAGGGCCGCCCTGTGAAGTTTGACACCTGGCTCGATGACCTGCACCTCTACCTACAGCTCACAGCCAAGGATGACATCTCACTGTACGATCACGCCCTAGGCCTTGTCACTGCCCCTGCTGCTACTGCTGACAGCACTGCTCGCTCACAGTGGCAGACTCGTGATGCCCACGCTCGCTTCGCCATTCGCAACTCCCTGCCGATAGACGAACGCGAGCACTTTGGTCAGCACAAGACTGCACCGGCACTGTACACAGCTGTAGTTGCTCGCTACTCCTCACCTGCCTCTGCCGCACTAGGCCGTCTCTCCCTCCCCTACCTGTTTCCCGACCTGGCCTCCTTTCACACAGTCGCTGACCTCATCACGCACCTCCGTACTAGTGAGGCCCGCTTCCGTGCCGCCATGCCTGCTGAGTTCCTTGCCACGCACCCCCCTCCACTCTGGCTCACTCTCTATCACCTAGTCACCCGCCTCCCTGACACACTGCGTGCTGTCAGGGACCACTTCCTAGCTCGTTGCCCCACTGAGCTCACCATTGCCCTCCTCGAGAAGGAGCTACTTGCAGCTGAGGCTAGCATAGTCGCTGTAGGTGCCTCTCGTGGCGACCCCCGTACCCCGTTCTTTGAGGGGTGTTCTCCTTCCCCCCTTCTTCCCTCTGTCGCCTCTGCTGCTGCTGTCGACCTTCTTGGTACTGAGAAGGTCGGTACTGCGTCTGCCTCGAGCGGACGCCGCAGCGGCAAGGGCAAAGGGGGCAAGGGTAGTGGCGGTGACGGCGGGGGAGGCGGCGGTGGGGGCGGTGGAGGCAGTGGGGGTGGTGGCTCGGCTGGAGGGGCGAGTGGTAGCGGTGGGGGTGGTGGCGGCAGCGGCGGGGGAGGTGGCAGGAGTGGAGGCGGCGGTTGGGGTGGCGGTGGACGAGGCGGCGGCAGGGGTTGGGGTGGTCGAGGAGGTGGCAACGGTGGTGGTGGCCGTGGAGGCGCTGGCGGTGGCCAGGGCCAGCAGCACACTCTCTCGCCCCAGGAGGTCCGTGAGTGGTACTCTCAGCACGGGGGTGGGGGTGGTCTTAGCTGCACGTACGTCATTCGCACTGGTGACCGCACTGGTCAGCAGTGTGGACGACCGCACGCCACACAGCGCTGCTTCTCTCGTCTCGACGACGCTTGGCGTGTTCAGTTCCCTCAAGCCACTGAGCTGCCCCGCTGGCTTGATCTCCTGAAGAAGGGGATTGATATCTATGCTCTAGACTTTGATGCTATTCTATCTGCCATGTATGTGATGTCTACTAGTGGAGAGGGTGCTGAGTACTTGTGTGTGCCGCCCGACCCGGGCATTAGGGCCAGTGCGTCTGCCGCTCCAGGTACTCACGTGTCGGCTACCCCAGGTACTGGTGAGGCTGCTGCTCTAGGTGCTCGTGTGTCTCCCCCCCTTGGTACTGCGTCGACTGCCGCACTGCACACCTTCACACTGGACTCAGGTGCTTCTCGCTGCTTCTTTCGTGACCGCACTGCCCTTGAGCCGCTTGCTC